ATTTTCGAGAAGTCTTTTATAAACCGCCTATAGAACCCTTCATGGCCCAAGGAACTGCGGATCCCCTTAACAGATGTGGGAGGAGGCAGCTTGCTGATTGTCTCGATCTTGGCTCTGTCCACCTCTATACCCATCTTGGAGATCTTATGCCCCGTAACTATGCCTTCGCGAACCATGAAGTGGCACTTCTCCCAACTCAATGCCAGGTTCGTCTCTTCACACCTTTTCAGGACGAGTTCCAGGTTGCGGAGACAGTGAGAGAATGAGTCTCCATAAACCGAAAAATTGTCCATGAACACCTCAATGATTTATCCGACCAGACGGTTGAAGATGGCGAGCATACAGCGCTAAAATGTGGCCGGGGCGTTGCAAAGCCCGAATGGGATTCTCTGGTAAGCAAATGTGCCGAAACGGCAGGTGAAGGTGGTCTTCGCCTGGTCTTCCGGTGCTATGGGGATCTAAAAATACCCGGACATCCCATCCAGGAAACAGTATAACTCGTGCCCCGCCAGCCTCTCCGACATCTGGTCAATGAATGGCAGCGAGAAGTGATCCTTCCGGGTGGGGTCGTTGAGGCGGCGATAGTCGATGCAAATGTAGTACCCGATCACCGTGCGCATCGGGATGAGCTCATTCGTCTCGTTGGGAACCACGGTCATCTCGCCTTTCTTAGGCACCACCTGAGTGGGACTGCCCACTCGCTGTCAGAAATGGCGAAGATGATTCCCGCGTCCATAAGCTTAACAATCTCTGCTCGAACCACATCCTCCAGGTTCGGTGTCAATCTCCGCTGGGGCTATCTCACCTGCTCAATCTCATCCTCTAGCAATATCTGGTGGGAACAGAAGGAAGGGCTGATCCCCCGGATATCGGTGATCTTCCATGCCAGAGCTCGCTCGTACTGCTTTATCAAGGCCACCAGTCTGGTCTTCTGCTCGGGTGTGAGGGTCGAGCTGACGATGACAGGAAGCTTGTTCCTCTCCCTGAGAAATGCATACTCCAAATGAGGAGGGGGGGGGGGCTTCAGCTCCAGTTCTGGTGGCTCCTCCAGAGAGGTGGTGATGCGAGTCGAGGATGAGATCGGCTTGAACAGTTTATCGACCTCCATGAACTCGCCATTCTCTAGCGCGGCCAGCTGCAGCTCCTGCGCTGCCTGCTCACCTAGCACAATACGACGCTCAAGGGCATCGTCAGTACCCGCACTCGTGATGGCGAGTGTGGTTTCAAAATAAGCAAGCATGTCACAGTAATCCAAGTCATCATGTAAATGGAAAATGCTTCGCAGATGTCGTCTTGCCACTTCTAGTAGTGATGGCATCCAACTGCTGGTGAGGCTCGCAAGGATTAGGGATGGTGGTGGCAAAAAGATTTCCCAGTGCCCTGGTGCTGTTTTGGCGAGCTATTACTCTAATATGATTCTGGAGATCCTGCAGTATGACACCCTAGTTCCTCTGGCCTGCCTCCAATGAGGTGATGCACTGGTCCAACCTGCGAAATTCGCCGTGTTGGAGCTCACGAAGGCCTGCACCATGTTTTTCAACTCCGACATTTTGGCGTCCTGTGCTGGGGCTGCTGCCGACTGAGAAAACTATCATCGCTGCTGCCGGAATGGTTACTGGGATGATAAGGTTGCTGCTGTGGAAATGGGCCCTGTCAGGTCTGGAAAGGCTGCCTTTGCTGAAAACCACCAGCTAGTGCTGGGAATCCAAAAGGCTTGGTGGTGTTGTTGTTGTTGCCATTCTAGGAGAAGTTGGGATGCTTGCGCCACCCTTCATTATAAGTACCACTGTAAGGGTCAAGGCGCCAAACATTGGCGATGAAGTCCAAGTGCTCTTGGGGGTGGTGGATTCCCTCATAGTCTGGCAATCTTCCACCAAATGGTTCGAAATTTCGCACCACTGGAACTGTGCGACTGGAGGTGCGGCTATGCCTCTCCCTGGAATGAGGCTTTTCGGCTGCTTCAATATCTGAACCAGCTCTACCACCTCTCTCTCAAGCCCAGATCTGGCCTCCATGGCATGCACACCACGGTCCCAGGAGTTTCTACCTCCGGTGTTCTGCCCCCAAGAATGGCCTCTGGCGGCCAAAGTACTGATCATCTGATTTAGCTCGGGAGGAGTCTTAGTGAGAATGTCTTCACCCGAGCATAAAGACTTGATCAATCTCTAACTTTCTGGAGACAGAGTACTATAAAAGTTCCCCACGGTTAATGCATCACTAAAGCCATGATGGGGACACTTCCAAAACAGTCCCGAGTACCGCTCCCAAGCATCTCGCAGGGACTCATCATCTTCTTGATGGAAATGAGCGATCTCTCGCTAAATCTCGACAGTCTTCGAGGTCGGATAGTACCGGTGCACGAATTTGTTGGCCAGATTGTCCTAAGAAGTGATGGACAATGGAAAATGGGCATCGATGGTCTATGCTGACGACTAACATGACAGAGAGCATCAATGGTGTTTTCAAAGGTATTCGTTCACTTCCTATAGCTTCTCTTATGCAACATAATTATTGACGATTATTGGAGAAATTCGATAAGACGAGGTTGGAGACAGAAGCACAAATCAGAAGTAGGAAGTCACAATACACGAAACCATGTGAAGATCTGATGAAGCCGTGGGCACAAAAGGCAGTTGGACATTCCGTGACGGGGTTGATTGACGTTAGGGCATCTATGTAGTTCAGACTCCTCCCAATAATTTCAACATGACGGGTTCAAACACACTCACGGTGCATTTCGATGACTACAATCGAGCGGGATTTTGCACTTGTGGGAAATTCCAAGGAAATAAAATTCCTTGCTCGCATGCCATTGCAGCTTGCAATCGAATGGGGCCTAACCCGTATAGGTTTGTAAACGACATCTATAAGCTGGAAACAGTATTGGCTTGTTATGGGACAAGTTTCACACGTCTTGGTGAACCTAAGGGGTGGAAGAAGCACAATGGCTCTACTCTCCATCCTAACTTGCACATGATTAGGAAGCTGGGGAGGCCACGAACAACAAGAATTCACAACGAGATGGATTGGCCAAGAGAGGAAGTAGGTGGACATGATGCATCAACTTCTGGTGGAGGAGCAAGTGGCAGTGGGAGCCAGCGAAGAGGAAGTGGTAGACGTGTGAGAGGTGGTAGAAGAGGAAGTAGTGGTAATAGACATGGTATGTAGTTTGGTTGATGTTGTTATGGTTTGAACGGTCGAGTGTGTTATTGTTTGATGTTTGTTATTGTTTTTCGACGTAGTTGTATTGGTTGATGTTGTTATGGTTTGAATGATCGAGTGTGTTATTGTTTGATGTTTGTTATTGTTTTTCGACGTAGTTGTTATTGGTTGATGTTGTTATGGTTTGAACGATCAATAGTGCCAATTGGGTTTTGGAACTTTCGAAGGCATGCCCCGGGATGTTGTTACTTCTATAGTTCAAGTTTTCGTTCTAGACATTGGCACCATACAGAACAATAATAGTAAGATAAATAGTCCAAAATAATACATCATGACATGAAATAATAGTCCACCATAATACATAATAATACATCATGACATGATAAATAGTCCACAATAATATATAGTCATACATAATAGTAGCAGTAACGACCTCCACCACGACGACCACACCCACGAGGATCCACTAGATGGCCGCCAGTACCACACAATGGTGCATGTCTGTCCCGTAAAGGCCTGCCCTCATCGTGCTGAGTCTGATCTCTGTGCACTATGTCATCCTGATCCTGTGTACTGAACAAACAATCTACCTGAGACTCGGGATGCTCGACTGGTGCGCCTGTGGTAAACCCCTGCCCCCAAAGCTACTTCTCATGGTGCCACATCGCCTCCATAAAAGTATCGTCCCCCTCTAGGGTGTCTCTCCATCTATAGGGTGAGGCTACTCTGAGTGAGGCTGCTCTAGTATCACTACCTGAGGCTGTATATCCGCCACCCATCATAACATGTTGCGGCGGTGTATGAAAGCTATCGGCTGGTGGCTGAAATCCCGAAGTAGGCTCCCCATGAAACTTCGGTTGAGCGGCTGAAACTGGGTCCGAGTCTGAGAAGGTTGAAATCCATAAGAACACTCCCCATGAAACTACGGCTGAGAGGGCTGAAACTGGGTCTGAGAAGGCTTAAAGGCCGCAGAAGAGGACGGTTGAAACTGAGGCATGAAGTCGAAGGTTGTAGTAAGTCGGACAGGATGTACTCGCTGACGATCTGAAATCTGCACTAGGTGAGGTACGTCACGCTGCTCACGTCGTTGTCTACGCCTCCTGGGCTCCTGTGTGAACTGTGGCCCTCGCACGTCCCACTCATGTCTATGAGCGAACGCTCTGGCCAACTGGCAAGGCTGCTCTTAGATGGTTGCCGCTGTACATGTACCGTCATATCAGGATGTTGACGAGAATCCAAACCAAAAGCAGCAACCCCTGCCGCCATCATGTCGGCCAAATCCATCCTATCGTCGTTGGACAACTCTCCATCCCGTAATCTCAACTCAAATTACCATGGTGTCGTACTGATGTCGACGACTCCACAAATCAATGGACTCTCCGGAGGCGTGTATCAACCGCTGCCCTCGCGATGGCCCATAAACTGTCTGGCGAAGGAAATACCTAATCTCAGCCTCAGGAGCTGGATGATGAAGCTCATTCTGCATCATGCCAAACTTTCGGAGTACACGATCTGGATGGTGCCACATCACTACTGAAAAGCAGATCAGTGGAACCACTGCTCGAAAGGTATCTGACTGGATCACATAACCCATAAACTGCTCCCCTCTCTCCTTGTAAGGCAGCCACTACACACAACAAGTGGTCACATTATTACTCATTAATCTAAAACAAACTAATGAGAACTATGACCTATTCTTGTATGAAATGTTATTACTAACCACGATTGTCGACAGTTCGTCAAAAAACAACTTATAATTGAAGAACTAGTCACCATGATGACGGGACATGGCCGGAAGCCATCGAGCACCACGTGGATATGCGTCCTCTGTAATAGGCTCATCCATCACTGTATGCCGTGGTGCTATCAATGGGAATCGCTCCCACGCCTAGAGTTGGAGTAAAGCGATCCAGCCACCAAGGTTCTGCAGACCTACCCGTCTCACGGTACAGGTAGGCTAGAATAGCTTCTCCCCAAGCGTAGCCTCCAGCGCTCCGCCAATTCTCCAACAGGAGTAGATATTGTAGATGAACTGTAGATCTAGTCCGATCGGGGAACATCATACACCCCATCAGAGATAGGGCATAAGTTTGTGCAAATTGCCCTGTAATCTCTGATGATGCATTTGGCGGCAGATTGCTGAAATGCTCCCTGAGCCAACTAATCCTAACGACACCGCTGGAAAGATCGGTAGGAGCATGTCCTAACAGTTTGGTATACGTTGCCGACCACTCCTGATCTGGTACGTCTACTATGACAGCCTCACCGTCGATCGGTAAACCGCTTAGTGTGACAACGTCCTCCAGAGTGATCGTAACCTCACCAAGCAGCATGTGGAAGGTCGATGTCTCAGGACGCCAACGCTCTACGAGAGCAGTTATCAAAGATGCATCAATAGCAACATCATAGGGACTAACTGCCGAATGCTAAACAAACTGGCATCCTGGAGATACGGCTCATAACGTGGATGGTACGTGACCAAATTGGTCGTACCTCGAATCTGGTAAACATAGGCCTGTCAATTCAGTTTTGGTTTTTTTCGAGTTCAACCCGATATGTAGTGCATCGGTTTTGGTTTACCAAAACCCGCAAAACCGAAAACAACCCACAAACCCGAAAGCTTATCAGTGCATCACGCTGTCATTTTGACTTTTGAGAGAAACCCTAGCCTTCACCTCGTGCAGTCGCCATCTCTTCGTCTTTTCCATCAAATCCGTCGCCGGCCGCCACCATCAACTTCCTAGCACTATGTTGGAGGGTTCCAGCCTTTGATAGAGAGGAATCCGCTTCACCACCATCAACTTCGCTCTTCGCCTCGCGAAAACGAGAGGCGACGTCGGGAAACAGAGCATCTCTTCTCAACACCAAATCGGAATCTTCCCCTGTTATTCTGTTCCTCGTCGGCGACATCTGGGTAACGCTAAGATTCAGTGTTCACGGATTTCCCTTTGATTTTTCTCTTGGGGGGTCTTTACGCCATGTAATCCTAGCTAATTTTTTTGGGTTTTGGTTACTGGATTCCTCTATTCTTCGGCGACCAAATGGCAACTCCCTGATCCACCCATCGACGAAGAAGAGACAGAAGCAGACGACAGGGTGCAGAAGTGGAGATTGGCGATTTCACGAGGAACTCCTCTGGGCTCAAAGCTTTTGCCTTATGGTCATATCCTAAATCACCGTACAAAACAACAACAAGTTGTTGTTCTGTTCTCAGACCTCACATATGGAATCCCAGTAAGCTCCTTTTTCATTCAACTTGGTATTACTCGATGGTTGGAATTGCAATTTAGTAATTTACCCTTTGATGCTACTACCTTCATTAGAAATCGGACAGGGATGGAATTATACTCAGCATCACAGTTCCTTTATGGTTCTATTCAGAAGTTTCAGTATCTCTATCTCTTACCTTCTTGAGTCTGATCGAACGCATTGTTCAGATAAGATTGGATTTCCCCTGAAAGGAAGTTTAGAAACTTCAAAGCAAATGGACATTTTCAATCTCTCCAATCTGTGGCTTTGTGATGCTACCACTGTGTACACTTGTCTTGGTGGATTGTAGATTAGAAATTTAGAATCAAACAGAGAAAGGTGAATTGTATAATGGGATAAGTGAACTTGATGATTGTTCCAACTTCCAACCATCCATTCTTGTTTCTCCTACACGACTTTGCATTGCGATGATTGGTTAAGATATGGGATCTCTTTTTGTGCTTTTCCCAATTGAGATATGATTCTAGTTCATTTGTTTACATGCCAACTGTGGATAGATGGAGGTGTGAGGAGTTTTAATTGAATCACAATGTGGATTTCTTGATCATGAAGTATATGTTAATGAATTATACTCAACTCACTTTTTCATTTTGGCAAAGAGAGTGAGGCACCATCTGCTTCTCATCCTAAGTGTGGAGAGCGCTCTAAGAGAACCGACATTCCTCCTATACCTCCTGCACCGTCTTCCGATCCTGCTCTTGCTCCTGCACCATATACCGGTACCACCAATGTACCTCCTGCTCAAACAATAGACGAGGAGATAATTTCAAGAAAAAGGAAAGAAAAGTCTGACGTTTGGCCACACTTCAAGCGTTTTAAGAAGGATGGAGTGGACAAAGCAAGATGTATTTATTGCAATGGTGTTCTTATTGCTCCCACTAGATATGGGACTTCTACTCTGCGGAATCATAAAGATAGTTTTTTGGAAAAGACAGAAAAGGGTGAGCTAATAGTCGACCATCTATCATCTTCTAGAGGCCAGGTACACACTCTTGGCACTTGGAAATTCGATCAGATTGATGCTAGGAGAGCTGATGTTTGTGTTACCTAGTCGTCAGACCGTTAGAGAGGATTGTATCAAGGTGTTCTTTGAAAATAGAGAGTTGTTGAAGGACTATTTCAAGACTAAGTGTTTAGGGATGGTATCGCTCACCACTGATACTTGGACTTCTTTATCCAATCTCAATTATATGTGCATTACTGCTCATTTCATTGGTAGACATTGGAAATTGCATAAAAGAATTATTAACTTTGTCCAAGTTACAAAAAATTCTGAAAGTGAAATTGGAAAACAGTTGGCTAGTTGTTTGGTGGAGTGGGGCATTAGGAAGGTGTTTTGTATAACAATGGACAATGCTAGTGTCAGTGATGTGGTTGCTACCCATATGAGGGGACATTTGAAAGAGTGGGGATCAGATATTTTGGATGGAAAGTATCTGCAAATGAGGTGTGTGGCTCACATTATTAATTTGGCTGTGAAGGATGGGCTTAAAGAAACTGGTAAATCTGTGGAGCGAGTGAGAGAGTCTGTGAAGTGGGTTAAATCTACACCAACTAGGAGCAGGAAATTCAAAGATTACATTGAGTTTGAAAAGATAGTGTCGAAGAAATTTGTTTCTTTGGATGTAGCTACAAGATGAAACTCAACGTATCTGATGTTGGAATCTGCAAAGCCATTTGAGAAAGCATTTCAGACATTAGCTAGAAATGATAAGAAATTCAAGAAACATCTCAATGAAAAAAATATGGAAAGGAAAGCCTTGGTATCACAACTTTTGATGATTGGTCTAGTGTGGGACGATTCATTGATTACCTGAAGCTCTTCTATGATTTGACTGTTCGAGTTTCTGGGAATTCATATGTGAGTTTACACCTCTTATTTGATGAGGTATGTGAAATGTATACTATGATATCAGAGTGGGCTGATGGTATAGATTTTGAGGTGTCATGCATGGCTGAGAGAATCAAGTCCAAACATGCCAAGTATTGGTTTAAAGATGAGTTGGAGAATTCCAAGATGAATCGGTTGTGTTATATGGCAGTCATATTAGATCCTAGGCGGAAAGTTGAATATCTTGAACAAGCTTTGAAGAAGGTATATGGTGAGAGAGGGGGCAAAGCTTTGGTCGAAGAGGTGAAAGATGAAATGCGTCTTCTGTTTGACCATTACAAGCATATGCTCGGACTTCATGGTAGTTCTCCCATTTTGATTCAGGAAGATGAGCAAGAACCTAGTGGAAGTGGGGATGGGAAGAAGAAAGGGAAGATTTGGGGTGATTTCAGGAAAATGAAAAGAGAGGCCATTCTGAAAGGAACTAGAAAAAGTTCCAAATGTGAGTTTGATAGGTACCTTGAGGAGGAGGAGGAGGATGAAGTGGTTACACGAGCATTGGTGGGTTCAGAAGAGGATGAGTACAAGTTTGACATCTTGGGATGGTGGTCGCGAAGTGGGATGAAATATCCTACTATTTCTGATATGGCTATGGATATTCTTGTTGTTCCTATTTCCACTGTTGCTTCTGAGTAGGCATTCAGCACAAGAGGTCGATTTTTAGATTCGTTTAGGACCTCCTCATCCCCTGAAGTTGTGGAAGCTTTGATTTGTTGTGAAGATTGGATAAGATCTTCAGACTCCGAGTTGGTGGCTGATGGAGAAGATGAGGGTGATGAAGTGGTATTTCAATATGGTAAGGACTTAATCTTTCTATTCATTCTTATATTTGTTATCTTGATGAAGTCATATTCTAACAAGTTGTTATTGTTTATGTTATCCAGTATTTGCAGCTTTTCAAACTCTGAGTGCAAGTGCACCTGCAGGACCTAGTGGAAGCTCTCATGCTATGTCACAAGTGGAAGAAGACTATTTCGATGACAACTCTGATGAGAATGATGAGACTTATGTGGACTATAGCCTGATGAGGAGGAGTGATAATGGTAGTAGTGTTTATCTTGTATGGTGGATGAACTTTGATTTTACTTGGATGTTATCATTTGAGAATTGTAAAACTAATGTGTTTAATTACGAGTTGAAGATAATCTCATCTATGATTGTCGGTGATTTTATGTTGAACAAAATTATTTATAATTTTGTGCCATACACCAAACATTTTTTGGCATATGATAGTTGATATACCTTCAATTTTGGACCTATGGTATTACTAAAACATTTAATTATATGAAAACCCACAAGGCCCCAAAGGTTGTATTACTTAACATAGCAAAATAAGATATGATTAAATTACGTATAAAATATGTATAAGTATTTTACTTTGTCTCTAAACTAGTAATACTCTTTAATAGTTAATAATATGTCAATAGTTATAGAATACATAAAATTAAATATATTATTAATTAACTAATATTTTAATAATAAACTAATATATAAATATTAGTTTACTACCCACGTCCCATAAAATTAAACATAATAGTTTAATAAGAATGTACAAATCATAAGAATAAAATTGTTTGTACAAGCAAAAGAATGTAAAATTCAAATCACAAAAGTAAAAAAAAATCCACAACGGTTCGGTTTTGGGTTCACCCGACCTGAACCGAAACCGCCAGCATATTTTCTGGTTCCTGCACCCGAAACCCGCAAGGTATATTTTCAGGTTCAGTTTCGGGTTGTGTGGTCTCGGTTTTGGTTTTTCGAGTTTTCCCGGGTTTCTGGTTCGGTTACCCGAATCGACAGGCGTAGGTAAACGCGATCACCAGCCTATAGTGCACAAAACTGATATTAATTCAATTTCATGCGTAATTCTATTTTCAGTTCACCTAGAATAATCTATCTAATCTAGTAAAATATATCTAATCAAAACTAATGCTAATTTCAAAAAATTTCACATGCAATTCTAATATTTCAGTTAACCTAGTAAAAATCAACTATCTAATCTAGTAAAATATATCTAATCAAAACTAATACTAATTTCAAAAAAAATTTCACATGCAATTCTAATATTTCAGTTCATCTAGTAAAAATCTAATCTAACTAGCTAATGAACTTTAATGAAATACTTACCTCGTTTTGCCAAACTGAGTCGGCACGATGTTGACCATGTGCCCA